GGCAGCCGGGAGCGCCCCAGCGCTGCAGAGGGGCTTCCCCACGCGGGGGGAGCGGGGAGCAAGGCCTGGATGCTGCGGGGCCACCGAGCCCGGTCGCCGTCAGCCCCCGAGCGCGAAGCCTGCGGGAGGGCGGGCAGCGCCGCTACCGCGGGGGGCGACCGCCGCCTTCCCCCCATTCGTTCTCGAGCCTCGATCGGTTACAAACCCCCGCGCCTCCCGATCACGTCACCATCGCGTAACACTGTTGGGTTTACTGAGCTCTAGCGGCAGTTTGAAAGGTAAAGTCTAAAAATGATACTTGGTACCACTTCCACGCCCATCTTCAAGAAAGAAATCTGTCGTAATTGGTTTTAAACCGTGCAAAACCAAATACACGGTTTGGCTTCTGCAGACACAGCAAACAGCCCTATAGCGTGTTGGATAAACAGGTGGTGATTCATGCCCTACACATTTAGAAAACAAGCTTTAATGGTACGCATTTCTACTGCTCCCTGGACACAGCAGCTTGATTTAAACACAGGACAGCATCCCAGATTATTCTATTTAAACAACTACCAGCTAACTCATAGCTTACTCCCCAAATGCAGACCACACTTCCATATTTGTCTTGTGAATATATACTTTAAAAAAACAAAAAAAAAAATGCTATTAGAGTTAATTGTATCCCTCTCTCTAGTTTCAATATTCTGTATTTAATGCAGCAAAATTAACACCCTGCAGTAGACAGGCAGCGCTGCCGTGTGCTGCAGCAAGACCAGCTCGCGCCGAGCAGGGTTGGCAAGGCTCCTTCCCAGCAGCTTTACACCGAGGTTCTCTGTTTGCTATCATATCAATAGGAAAACCTATTAGACACATGGAAAACTCAACTGATGTGTTTTCCAGAGGAGCTCGGTTGCTGGAAACCACAGAATATCAGTTTTCAGTCTGTAGCGACTGCAAAAATATCAACTGCTCTCTTAAATGGGTTTAGTTGTAGAAACCCTGGATCTCTGGATAGATTAATGGAAAATTAGGGCTGAGAATTCATGTTAATCAGTGGGACCAACAATATGCATGACATTAGTACTGTACAGAGAATATGCTGTCTCTGAGATCTAGGGACATGTGTATTTTGGAGCAGTAGACATTTGGTAAGATACTTCCTCTTGGAAGTTGTAATTTCATTAAGATCGTCCTAGGACTGCCACTGATCTGATTGCTTTGCATGGTCTAGAAGGAAACAAAGATCCCGCGTGCACAGGGCACGCCCGACCTAGAGAGTGTCAACCAACCCGCCGTGGCACAACTGCTTAGTTCCTCGTCCGCAGACCCCTTATGTGCAATAGGCACACAGCTCGATTTACTGCTTTGCCAACTCGCTGTAACCCGTGAAGCAGCACAGCGTAGACTTTTCTATTCAGCACACTGATACAATCTTATTACTCTTAATTGCCTTACAAAACAAGCTGGCTTCTCAAGAAGAATCCTACCAATCCATTTGTAACGATCTGTATCTACTTCAGAGGAAGGAAATTTTAGTACTAATGGCAGATGAAAAAAAGAAAGATCCACAAATATGATGCAAATTTTTCTGAAAGTAATTTGAAATAACAAATAACTTTTTTTCCCCCCCATAAAGAAATACTTTTGTATTGGGCAGTGGTAAAGGTGAGTGACAGTGGGACTGAGCTGGCGTCCCAGAACCAAACAACTCTTGATCATGTTGGGCTGTCAGCTCTTCCACAGCACAGATTTGCTCTGAGCTGAAATTTGCACATTTCAGTGTTGTAGAACTAATGGGACTTCACCATTACTTTGCAATAAAGAGCTTCTATCGGCTTAATTTACTCCCAGTTGGGTGTAATTAGCGTGTGTGTAAATTACACTAATAGTACACTCTTCCTCTCAGACACAAGTTTTGTGAGAGAAAAATTTTGTAGAAGCTTTCTCTTGCCCCCTTTTAAAGTCAATGGACTTCAGCATCTCTCCTCAGATTATCTTCCTATACCTGTGCCAGAAAATAAACCAGAACAGCTACAGCAGAATAAACCATGTTGGGATAATTGCTTTATAATTACCAGCTGTATGGATATTATTCTGGAATAACTAGAAGGGTTTTTTCAAATTAAAAAGCAAACAGCTGTACAAAGTGCTCTTCTGGAACAGAACTGAGATAATTTAAGTACTTTCTCTGTATTGACAAGGCTTTAGAAAGGGAAGACTCAGCATGAACTGGGTCCCTGGGAAATGCTGGTGACATATTATTGATTTAAGATGACTGGCAATCTGTCCTGAAAAGATGCTGGTAAATTAAATACTGTAATGTCCAATGTTTGTATAAAAATAGGGATTACAATTCAATTAGTCAATCTCCCTTGCAATACAATTTTCCAGTATATTGAGTCAGTCCAGATGGAGCGGACTTGCATGACCTCCTACCAGGAGGTATACTGAAAACTGCTTTGGCGTTATGCCGTGAACCCAATGAAATCACGTGAGGACCTTATGCTTTCTCCCTTTCAAGATCTTATCAAATTCCTAGCACTTTCAACACTGTCAGGCTTTCCCTCCTGTACAAGCTTTTCTATGTATCTGTTCTGCAACACCCAGCCCAAACAGAACCTATGATTTTGCCCTTTGGCATTGCTGAAGATTAAACACAACGGTTCTTTAAAGGTGTTTCTCCCTTCTTTTAAAACTACTTCAGTAAATGCACATAGCACAGAGTCATTCACCAGGAAGATGGATTGCTTTTTTTAAACAAGCAGGGCAGTTGGCTTAAGCAAACAGCAGAATTCAGAGCAAGCCTACTGTAAGGAGATGGCTCAGCTCTTGCTTCCTCCTCCCTTATTTGGAGCTTTAAAAATGTGACTGAAAAGCGTCATGTTACTTGGAATAAAAATATATAGGGCAAGGTGAGAGGGGGGAGCTGAGGAGAGCAGGCCGGGAAGGCAGCTAACAGTGCCTGAGACGCCCGGATTAATCACGCTTCCTGGTGACTGAGCACCCCGAGTGGCAGTGAAAACTAATCACGAAAAAATTCAGTAGTTGTGGTTTCCTTTTCCTCACTGTGCTGAAGGCAGTACAGTGATACAAGCAGAAAAATCCAGGAGACTCATCGAAAGTCATAAGGTTGAGACTTCCCGTTTGGAAACACCCCTCGTTAACAGCATCGTTGGCGCGCGGCTGGCCAAGACGGTGCGCTGCGGGCGCAGGGACGGGCACCGGGAGCAGGCGAGGCATGGCGACTCGGGCCAACTCCTCCACACCCGGTGGGCAGATGGTCTCCTGCCTCAGGCACGCACAGGAGCGGAGACCCGCAGCCTCCGGCGACAGATACAAGCCAGTTCGTTCATTAGTAAATAAAGTCTCTAATTAACACCTTACAGGGAATAAAAATCAGAGCGGAGGAAAAAAAAAAGTGTGTTCTTCGTGTCTGACCACGTCTGCAGTTACAGCACCCAAAGGTGCGTGTCTGCCCCACGGCCCCCACTCCATCGGAGCCCCGCGAGGCTGGGACCGGCTCGCCCAGCGCCCTGCAGAGCACAGGTCCTGCCAACCGGCACATCCCGAGCCCTCAGGTGACACGGCAGGGACGTGGCGTGCCCTCTCTGATCTGAGGAGAGAA